TCCCTCCCAGGGCCACACACAGCTCAGCGAGGCCGGGCTGCACTGCAAGCCCCTCTTTTCCAGCAGCTCCTGAGCGCGGCTGAGGATTTTCTCAGGCCTCAGGTTTCCACGTGTGGGTATGAAGTGTCCTGAGGGTGCCCGTGTGAAACCTAAAACTCCTTCTATCCTTCATCAAAACCCACTTGGATCACAAACCAGGCTTCGACCGTGAATTGTTTCTCCCGCGAAGCCAAGGACCAAGGTATTTCTCCCACAAGAGAGACCTAACTGTAAAATAACTGCTATGCCTGCTATTGGACCCTAGTAGGTTGATGCCATCCGTGGTGGCATCGTGAAGTCCTGAAAAACAGTAAGAAACCATATTCTGCAGCCTACTGGGTGAGTAGCAACTGGGGTCTTTAAAGCTTGTGAGCAGTTATCTAAGGTGCAACTTTTGGTCTCTCCCCTTTCATGGGACAGAAGAGTGATGGGCATCTAAAGTCCAACAGACTAATCGATCATGCAAACATCAGTCTTCACAACATTGAGACCAGAAGAACTAGGTGGTGCCTGGCTACCAAGTGTTCTAGAAAAGATCACGTTAGAAGGTCCTGGGTAGAGTGAGAGAAAAATGTGGGACAAAATTCAAAAATCATAAAAGAGGCCAGGCAAACTGGTTTGGGAGAGTCAGGTGCGAGGCCTCTTCCCACCCCAAGACAATAGGCTTAGTCATCCTTCAGGTGTGGAACTGAGCCCACCCCGCTGGTAAAATAAACAATCATTGAGGATGAAAAGGATTTGCCCAGAGGAAGCATGAAAAACAGAGTAAGTGATGGGACTTTGAGGGGATTGCCACAGATGCGTTGAAACAAAATCTGTATGAATCAGTGGATGGAAAATGGATGAACTGCTCTGTAAACCTTCACATAATTCACAAAGCAAAAAAAAAAATGCAGCAAGAAGATTAGGATTTCTGCATACCAAAATGTAGCATGAAAATAAAGGCTGACATAACTGCGAAGCAAGACAAGAAAGTATACTTTTCCTTGCCAGAGGAAGAAAAATGGCTTTTGGAGCCTCAGCAGTTGGAGACCACCAGACCTTGTGTGTACTGGTGGAAATGGGGGTTGGGGGTGGGGGGCAAGAGGGGATGATGTTCCTGATGGGTACCAGGGAAGATGTGAATCTGATGTATTGAATTCTCCCTTTTGGTGTGGTTGCGAAAGAGATGATATTCTTATAACACAGTCATTGTCCTTGGCTTCCGATCTTGAACTAGAATGGATATAAATTGGTCGGTGGAACGTCAGCATTTCCAGTAACCATAAAAGGCTTGCTTTGTGCATATCCCCCCCCCCCCCCCGCCCCCAGTATCAGCCAGTTGAGTGTCATGTGGGTTTCAGTCACCAGGTTTCAAACACTTGGGGTGGTTTTTTTTTTTTGTTTTGCCTCAAGTAATGATGTGTCCTGTTTTACCAATCGATTCACTATAGCATGAACAACTCACTAATTGGCTATGGTTTGCTTCTTAGCTATTCATAACAAAGTTAAGATGCCTTGCGTTTTCTTCTGTCTGGGGCTTCCACTGTGATCTTAACATCTAAATGCTAAGATTTCCAAAATGTTTGGAGGAGGAAATAAGACATAACCTAAGGGATAAGGGTGTTGCGAGCTAAGATTACTTGGGGCAAAGGCCAAAAGTTCCTTTGTTCCCAGTGGCCCTGTTTCAACGAATGCCCTTACTGTTGCTAGGAACCATGGAGTCATTTCCGATGCGCACCTACCATCCGTAAAGCAGAACCAAAGTCAAGTGGTCCTATGCCATCTCATAATTGTGAAGTTTGAGCCCATTGTTGCAGCCACTATGCCAATCCATCTTCTTGGGGGTCTTTCATCTTTTTCCCTGACCCCTCTACCAAGTATGAGGTCCTGCTCCAGGGGCTTGTCTCTCCCGATTACATGCGATACATCTATGTAATGATGTAAATCCATGAGCTACATCCTCATCATCCTGACTTCTAAGGCTCTACTTCTGACACGCCATGGTCTCGTTAATGTTCTTCCCCAAAGACATAATTCAAAGGCATCGATTCCTCTCTGATCTTCCTTGCCCACTGTCCAGCTTCTGCGTGCCTCCGAGGTGTTTGAAAAGACGACATTTAAAAACAAGTAAATGTATCAGATTTTTAAAACTTGATTGAATCAAAAATCCATCCATTGTCAGCGTCTAATTCAAGAATTTGAATTAATTGACGTTCCTAATCCAGGAACGTCACCAAGCAGCACAACAATCACAATAGTGTGTGCTATTGATAGTTTTTGTCCAGTCGGTTCCAACTTGTGGCAACCTTGTGGACGACCAGCTGAACCCCCAGGTCTGCACCGTCCTCCGCATCAGTCTAGGTTTGAACCCACGGCATCCGTGCATCGCCTTGAGGGTCCCTTCCTCTTTTTCTCTGACCTTCTAAATCTGGGTTCGATGTTTTCATTCTTCCAAGAATACACCTGTCGGGTTTCCTTCATTCAGGAGCCTCAGTAGAGTTCTTTATTACAAACTGCACCCCTCGCCAGGGTGCTAGGAAACTTTAGGGACTGGAGGCACATGGTGCAGCCCCTATAAGGCTGCTCAAAAGTGCTCGTTAAATGATTCGACCATCGAATTAAAGCTTTGGGATTCCCTGAGTGGAAGCTAAGAAGAAGGGTCCCAGGTAGAGCGGGAGGCCAAGCACTGAGCTGCTAACGGAAAGGTCGGCCTCTGGAGCTCACTGATCAATCGCCGGGGAAAACGTGGGGCAGTCTGCTTTGGTAAAGATTTACAACCTTGGAAATCTTCTAAGGCTGTTCTTGTCTGGGTGGAGGGTCACCATGCGTGGAACTGCACCTAACAGTAACAGCAAACAATGAGTCTTCAGTTATTTCAGGCCCAGCCTGCTGGAGGAAAAAAACAAAGCCCCAAAGGAAAAAAAAAAATGCAAGTCAGACTTTGGGGTCATAGAAGGGCATGGTTCCCCCACCCCCACGCTCACAGAGGCTCATTTGCATTTTCCATCACAGTAGCCACTTTGTGTCTGGGAAGGAAAGAATGAAGTTCGCCCACAAACCAGTGAGCTGCCCCCGGGAACAATACTCATCCTCTCCCTGCCTTTTCCTCTCCTTTGGGACCAGGAAAGCAAGGGGGCAGGTGGGGGGGTGGGGGGGGGTGGCATGCAAGGGGCACCAAGGGCCGCTAGGCTGCTGTGGGCAGGAATTTTCTGGACACTAGAGGGAGTTATGCATTAGAGGCCTGAGTCGATAGGGTTCACACACACACAAACAAACACACACACACACAATGGCCAGTGACATATCAGACAAGGGACTAGTCTCTAAAATCTATAGAAATTTCGCCCGGAAGTGCTTCTGCTGGTTGCAGGCGTCATGGCCCCAAGGTTACTTCCCGGAGCTGGAGCGTTGGCCGCCCAGGCCCTGAGGGCCCGCGGCCCCAATGGGGTGGCGGCAGTGTGCAGGATGGCGACTGGAGGCGGCATCCCTACGGACGAAGAGCAGGCGATGTGGCTGGAGAGCGGGGTCAGGATGGCCGCACGCCAAGGGCCCGATCCATGCAATATGCTTACTCCGAAGGCAGCCGCAGACACCAAAGAGGGCCCTAATTTGGTCCCCTCCATCACCAACAAGGGACCCGTGGGCTGCATCTGTGAAGAGGACAACAGTGCTGTCATCTGGTTTGGGCTGCACAAAGGTGATGCTCAGCGATGCCCTAACTATGGAACCCATTAGAAGCTGGTGCCCCACCAGTTAGCCCACTGAGCCCCTACACTGACTCATTCTAAAGGTTTTCTTCTCTTCAGTAAAGAGTAGCCATTGCATTGGCTTCTTCTCCCATAAAAAATAAAATAAAATCTATAGAAACTTCAAACCCTCAATTAAAAAAAGACAACCCAAATTTTAAAATGGGTAAAGGCCACGACGTAGAGACAGTGTACCACAGAGGATATTCAAGCAACCAACAAACATCTGAGACATGCTCTCAATGACTGGCCATCTGAGAAATTGTGTTAGTCCAGGTAGACTAGAGCAACAAACCCAGAGACACTCACGTGTGTCTAAGAAAGAGCTTTATATAAAGAGCTTTTGTATATTAAGAAAACATCCCAGCCCAATCCAGATCAAGTCCATAAGTCTGATATTAGCCCATATGTCCAACACCAGTCTGTAAATTCCTTTTCAGACTCATGCAACACATGCAATGACGCCAAATGCAGGAAGATCACAAGCCAGTGGGTGGAAAGTCTTGTGGATCCACGGGTGGTGGAAGCAACTCAGTGCTGGCATGCTTCTCCACGTGGCTCCTCCAGTTCCAGGGTTCTGGCTCCATATGGCTTGTCAACAGGAATACGGGGCCTCCGGCCTCCAGTGAGCTCTTTATCTCCATCATGCTTCCAAATGAGGTCATCAAGCTGCGACCTGATTGACAGACTAGACTCCACCCCTTCACCCTTAGTAGTCTCAAGTTGACACCAGATGATGTAATTACCACAGAGATGCAAATCAAACCCTCGTGCCAGCAGTCACAGCAACGTTCAAAAGAGTAGAGAACAACAAATGCTGGAGAGGTCAGAGAGGAGATTGGAACCCTCGTACACGGCAATTGGTCCTGTAAAGCAGTCCCACCCCTGTGAAAAGGAGCAGGATGCTTCCTCAGCAATTGGATATAGAAATAGCACATGAACTAGCAACCATGCTTCTTTTTTTCATTATTGATTTATTGGGGCTCATACAACTCTTATCACAATCCACACATGCATCAATTGTGTAAAGCCCATTTGCACATTCATTGCCCTCATCATTCCCCAAACATTTGCTCTCCACCTAAGCCCCCCGGCATCAGGTCCTCAACCGTGCTTCTTGGGATATACCTTACAGAAATAAGTACATAACATGAATAGATGTATGCACAACCACGTTCATCGCAGCATTATTCACCATAGCAAGAAGACGGAAACAACCTAAATTCCCCCGATGAAAGGATGGTTCACTAAAGGCTGGTGTAGACATACAACCAGATCCTACGCATCAACCGAGAACAGCGATGTAACTGCAGCACTTCCTGACGGGGATGGACTTAGAGGACACTTCTTACGCTGAGTTAAGTTAGTCCATCACCAAAGGACAATTGTATGAAACTGCTACTAACATTTCGAGAAAAGGTTTTCATACTCACTGCCCTCCCCGAAAAAAAACCCACACTTGGATGTGGATCAGGGAGAAGATGGGCAAGGGTAGCGAGAAGCTAAAGGGGGGTGGGGCATTAATGTTAGTGAAGGGGAAGATAATGAAGAAGGTGCTAGAACGGGAGTCAAAGGAAAGTGGACCCAGAGCGTGGGTTTCAATGAACAGGTTTTAGTAGAGTTAACGACCTGCCCGCCCAGGTGATTAGATTGGAATGAGCGTCAAGGGGGCGGGGTGAGGGGAGATGGGAAGACAGCGTGGTGGGAGAACAGGCGACAGTAAGAAAGGGAGAGCCAGAGAGAGGAAGAGACCGCGGGACAGACGGACGTGCAGCCACACGAGAAGGTGAAGAGAGTCAGAGAGAGCGCCAACAAAGGAATCCCCGTGTTCATAAACTTTGGGGACAGTAATAAATGATCGTGTCTAAAAGGAGCCTGCGTTTTTTCCAGATTGGTTGTGGCACTAACAGAATGGTGAAGAGGAGGAAGGCTCCCGCGAGACGTGTTGAGAAGGCAGGTGTCACGTTATGCTCGGCGGGGATGGAGAAGGGGTTAGAGACGTGGCTGTGGCGGAGAATAGATCCCCTAGGAACGGATGGACCCTGCTAGACAGGCAAAGAATGTAACCCTGCTCCATCAGCATCTAGTGGTAAATCCTTTCCAAAGCGATTGTTGATTGTGCTTCCAAAATGTGCAAATAGCACCAAAGACAGAGCCAGCAGTAATAATACGGTTTGATCTTTTCTATTAGACTGTGCCTGGGGAAACAACATGAATGGAGTTAGCAGACAGGACAAGAGGAGTTGGGGAGAACTGGACGTCTACATTTTGAGATGCAGTTCGGGGTGTTGGTGGCTGGGTGACTGTAAAATCACAAAGCCACGCTGTGGCCTCAGCAGATGGGGGCCTGGTCAGTATGACAGAGGGAGCACGTCTGGGTTGTGGGCTCACTTGCAGAGCTATGCGCAGGGCAGTCATCTGTAACAATCCAAGGGAGCCACCCCCAGATGTAGGATGTAACTCTGCCCCTCTCTGGGGACCAAGGAGATGTACTGAGCTGGGTGTGTTCTGGAGCAGGTTAGGGTGTTGGACAAGAAGCACATCACGTGCTCAGCCAAAGGGCAGGCTCTGGAAGCACTACCTGGCATGGAGGCTCACCATTTGCCGATTTGCTGAAAACCATCAAGCTTCCTATCCAGAGTGGGTAACTGACCTCCTGGATAGTGAAGAGTAAATAATGCAATACTCCCAGCGCCAAGCACTACAAACTGGAACGTGAAACAATAAAGAGTAACAACAGCAGAACCAGCTGCCCTGTGTGTCAAAGTAAAAGGGCACCAGAGAGTTTTCAATGGCTGCTCTTTTGTACGATTCCAGGTTCACCTTGAGTACCTCCCAGGGACTCCTTGAAACATGAGAGAGAGAGTGAGAGAGCGAGGAGAGAGAGAGAGGAAGGAGGGCCGGTTAATTGCTGTGATAAATAGGATGCTGAAGAAGAGATGAAGGATGCTGCCTTCCCAAGAGCAGAGACGAGTGTGTGCTGGTCTGCCTGCCTGTCTTATCTATTCTCCACTGTAGCACAAAGTGACTCAGCGGCACAAGACTGGGGCGGAGTAGTTCTGGCCATGACTCCCCAGGCCAGCCCTCAAGGTCCAGACAGGAGGAAGCGTAGGATGGAGGTGAGGCTAACAGAGAAGGAGGACTAAAGGAGACAGAGGAAGCTTGGTAAGTGGAAGGGTCAGAAACCACGGGTTGTGTGAGCCGAGAGAATCAGCAAATGTGGACTAACCTTGAGGAGGTCAGAGCATGGTGAGTAAGGCAGGGGCGAGGGGAGCCAGGCATTAGAATTCAATGCTGGTTTTGTATTACATGGGGTCAATTATCGCTCTTCGAGTGTCCTGTACAGGATAGAGCAGGCCTGCTCTATAACATTTTCTGCACTGAAATCCTTACAGAAGCAGGTTACCACATCTTTATTCCCTGGCTGGGTTCCAATGCCAACCTTTCTGTAAGCAACCTAGTGCTTTGTACTGTTGCAGCACCAGGTCCCAATCAGAATTAAGTAGGCTTGAGAAAAGCCAATCAACAAAGCAACAAATAAATAAAATACTTCAATGTGTTAGAATAAAACACTTTTTTTAAATCATTTTATTAGGGACTCCTACAACTCTTATCACAATCCATACAGACATCCATTGTGTCAAACACATTTGGACATTCATTGCCCTCATCATTCTCAAAGCATTTGCTCTCCACTTAAGCCCCCGGCATCAGCTCCTCATTTTTGCCCTTCCCTCCCTCCTCCCCCCTTCCTTGATAATTTATAAATAATTATTTTGATAATTCATAAATAATTATTTTGTCATAGCTTGCACTGTCCGACAAGAATAAAACACGTTCATGCGTAGTGTTTCACTCATTCCTAACCATAGACCCACGAATTTATGATACGATTCTCTCTGGCTAATTGATGAGGAAAGGAGGTTCAGAGGTTAGGGTTCATCCCTAACAGAACACAGCTAACTGAGGCCACTGCACATTACGCCCAGAGGCTGGAGGTGTAATGACCGCAGTGGTGACTCTCTTCTTGACACTTGATAGCATGGCCATGTGATGACACAGGATTAGACAGCTTTACCACCGCCCTGGTCAGCAGACTTGCTTCCTGAAACACCCAGCTGGGGTTGGCCTCTGTTGAGGGTGCCGGCAAGGGGAAGTTGTACTCTGCCCCAGTGATGGCTGCTAACTGCTCGGCTGTGGCCATTTAATCTAAGCGCTTGTGCGGGCTCGGTCTTTAACCTGCATTCTCGGCAGGTTGAGATTGTGTTGATCTGTGAATGTCCACCTGTGAGCACTATAGAAGCCCTGAGAGCCAGGGCCACACCGGACAGGCTAAGCGCAGCTTCCATCAGCTGATGAATGCAGCAGCCAGGCCAGACATCATGGCCAGTTCATCCCTAGCTACGACGCACAGGCAGCGACCTCCAAGAGCCTGAGGCAGACAGGCACATATACATACATACATACATACATACATACATACATACATACATACATACATACATAACCAAATACGTGGACTGGAACATTAAAAACTTTTGGTTTTTAAACAGACATAGCAGAGGAAGTATCAGACGCCTCCTGGGAGATCAGCAAGCTTCCCAGCAGAGGGGCGGCCATTCTGGCCAGAGGAGAGAGGACCCCCACCCTGGAGCATTCCCTCCCTCCTAGGGCATGTGAGAAGATGGCTGGGACTCAGACAGGAGTGACTGCTTGACCAGGAGCTGCTGGAAGTTACGGTTTTGTTTTTGAGAAACTGGATGAGTCATGCTACTCTGGCTGTTAACAGAGAGGTGAGTGGTTTGAACACACCAGCCACTCGGTGAGAGAAAGATATGGCAATCTTCTTCTGTAAAGATTGACAGCCAAAAAAAGATGAACAACCTTGGAAGCTCAGGGTCTCTATGAGGTGGAATCAACTCACTGGCAATAGGTTCTAAACAACAAATGTCCAAAACCACCTCTAACTAACAGGCAAAAGAGTGGCCT